TTTGCTTAATAATAAACATAATAGTCTATCCTACTAGGGAAAAATGTGAAAATTAATACCAATGTACTTTTTCGTTATGAATGAATTCTTTGAATCCTCTTCTTTTGTTAAAAAGTAACTACTCTTATCCTGATAAAATAGAAAGAAAGCTCTGCAATATTCTACAAAGTGCAATATTAGAACTTTATATAAATTTAAATGGAGGCTATTGTCAATGTTATCTGTTTTCTACTTTCACTGAATGAAACAAGGAAAAATATATCTATAAACTGCTTCACAGAACATTCTGAAGTTGCTACAGAATTTTATCATTAAGCATACATGCTACAATTACCAATATGTCTCATAGAATCTCCTTTCTGGGATTAAAAGTAAGTAAAGAGAAGTGAAATATTGGTGCTTAGTCTGCATAAGAATTTAGAATCAGAAGCTAAATAGCATTTTTTTTTTTCATTTTGGGTTAAGATGCCAGACCTGGACCAAAGCAGAGATTGCAAAGAAGTGGCATATTTTGATATGTTTTGAGAAAAGTCTAATAATAGCTCTCTGATATTATAATCCCATTACAGGAGAAAATAGCCATCTGTCTGACATATTTTATTAACAATTCCTACATGGGTGGAAGCTTGTTTTGGAATGCTCTTTGGACTTCTTCCAATGTTTAAATTCAGAAATTCTAGTATATAGTCTTACTGTTTTATACAAGATTAGGAGCAACTGTGAAAATGAATATCTGTCCTGAAAGGTAGTGTCTGTTGAGTGTCATGAGGACCAGTGGCTATGGGTGTGTGTGTGTGATGGTTATCTTCCATAACCTTGATTTATCATGGTAAGATAGATGATAGATAGATTAGATAGATAAGATAGATAGATAGATAGATAGATAGATAGATAGATAGATAGATAGATAGATAGATAGATAGATAGATATGACATGCATCACAATTACACATCCCTTGCCCTTCTTAGTCGTGTTTCTATAGAAAAGATAAGGGAATGTTGTATGCCAACTGAAGTTAGTATCTTTCCTAAATCAGCTAATGAGGATGGACTAGAGATTCAGTGATCTGATCCCACATGTTGATTAATCTCTTTCACCCTCATAATATCCAGGCAGCCTCTTGACAGTTAAAACTGTCCTTAATATTTCCCTTATAATAAATGACTGTAAACAAGCTGGATAAATTTTAACAGCATTATTTCAAACATCTGGTTACAGCAAAAATTATATTTTAAAAAGTGCACAAGACATAAGGAGTTGTTTTACAAAATGCTAAATTCCCTTTAGACCTAACATAATATGTAATAAATTTATGACTTCAGCTTTAAAATGAAATTAGTGGTCATTTAGTCTGTCTTTAATTTGTGGTATTGAAATGTCAGGTTTTTTGTGTATGTGGTATAAATTTTAAGAATTCAGCTTTTAAACTATGTTCTGTAACTTAATGGTGGTAACCTGTGATCTCCAAGCTATTGAAACCACTGCATAAATCAGATAACTCCAGCCTAAAATTTGACAGCTAATTGGTAAATGAAACAATGAGAAGGTTTACAACATTAAATTTTATCTTGAATTAACTTCAACCCATTAGCACATTGTATTGCTGAGCAGTAATTTTAGTAAATGAGAATTCTAAGTAAAATGAAACACAAAAGACTAAAATAAAAAAATTGTAATCATACAGATTATACAACACAGGCACTTAAGTTACCACTCGTGTTTTATAGTTATTATCATACCTCTATAATCCATGTCCCTTTACAAGGCTATTCAAGCTATAACACATGACAGGCAGTGCATTGCTCTGCTATTTATAAGGTGCCTTGGGTCATGTTATATGGCATAAGACTCAAGGCAGAATGACTTAAACCACCCTGGAAGTGCAATAATCCCTAACAAATGCACAGCCTAGAGTGTCTTATTGCTGTTATGAAATGAAATTCATACATTAAGTAAAAAATTGGTCAGACCAAGAGCACTTACTGAGAATAATAAACATGTCTGTCTATCCTTTGATGCATTTTTTTAGTCTATAGGAGTCAGAAGTGATTGTTCCAGCCCCACAGATTATCTACTCTGAGATACAAACTGCCTCATTCTCCTGGATTTCAGACGTTCCCAACCATTGTAAAAGATACCCATCATATCAACAACCTCTTTAGGAGTAGTTTTTCCCTCTGACATTCTCCTAGTTTCCTCTGGGTTTGATTTTAGTGATGATTCATGTGGGCTGGATGAAAACATCAGGACCAACATGCAATGAACATACAATTGAAGAATACAGTAAAAATAGACTTTAAAGAGAATGCAGGGCTCTGCTCTCTCTGTCTCTCTGTCCTGCCACTCTCTCTGCTTTCTCTGTCTCTCTGTCTGTCTGTCTCTCTGTCCCACTCCCTCTCTGTCTCTCTCTGCTGCTTCCTCTCTCTCTCCCTTCCTCTGGGGCAGACACTTTCTCTTTCAGATTAATACAATCTCTTGCATGGGCCCATGTCTCCTGAGTCGTTCTGGGTAAGGAGAGTCGCAGCAATGTACCCTTTCAATATCTACAAACAATACAGATGTCATCTTCTCAAAAATACGTTTCTCTGAAGCTACAGCAAAATAATTTTTGATGAGTTTGGAGAGAGAGAAGTAACACAATTGTCTGACAGTAGCCTGAGCTCCCTTTCATACCCTCTACAGAGATCAATTAAAGAAACAGGAAATGGAAAGAGAAGCTCCCAGCGTGGTATTTTAGAAATGAAGTCCATTGATGATGAAGCACAGAAAGAGGAGATGCGTGTGTACATATGGGATTACACTCTTCCTTGCCAACCATTTGCAGGTGCCATTTGCAATGCCTTGAGCACAGAATCCCGTGTTCCCATGGTGCAGGGGAGTCCTCAATGACAGTTCTTCACCAAGGGGCACTGACCTGATCTAATGTCTGTGCTACAACAATGTACAGTCTTTCCAATAAGTCTACCCAGGACAAACGGCAGCCTTCCCCTTCTCATACATGGAGATTTAGAGGCCACAAACTATAGTGAATTCTCACCTGAACAGAGAGTTCATCACGTTTTTCAAGACATACTGCACATTTATTAGTAAACTGTGAAGTATTTATCACCAGGAATTAAAACTAAACTGTTCCTGTTACAATAAATGCACAGACTCAGAGATGCAATACTATTACTTTTTATTGTTTCTTTGCTCCCGATTTAATCTAATATAAAATTTCCTTCATTACAGGGAGGGAGCCAAGATGGCGGCATGAGTAGAGCAGCAGAAATCTCCTCCCAAAACCACATTTATGTATGAAAATATAATGAAGACAACCCTTCCTAAAATAGAGACCAGAGGACACAGGACAACATCCAGACCACATCCAAACCTGTGAGAACCCAGCGCCTAGTGAAGGGGGTAAGATACAAGCCCCAGCCAAGTGGGACCCGAGCACCCCTCCCTCCAGCTCCTGGTGGGAGTAGAGGAGTCAGCAGGGAGGGAGAGGGAGCCCAGGACTGCTGAACACCCATCCCCAGGATTCCGGACCAGAGCGCAGACACAGAGCATGTGTGGGGTCCTGGACACTAGGGAAACAAGGTGGCAGGACCAGTGAGTGGGTGCCTGAGGCCGGCGCCGGAGACCAAAGTAACGGGAGTGGGTTTTTTTGTTTTGTTTTGTTGGTGAGTGCTTTTTGGAAGCCTTAAAGGGACAGGGACCCCAGTACTAGGGAAACAGGGCAGCAAGATTGGGGGTAGGTGCCTGAGACCGGCACCTGAGGACAAAGAAACTCGNAGTCTAAACTTTGTGCCTATCATCTAGGTCAAGGTTAGGCTAGAGTAAACACTCCTGGAATGTTTTCAATGTCTGATACATTACTGTTGCCCTCCCCACTCCTATTCCCATGCACACTTTTATAGACTATCCCATCTAAACTGTTTCTACTAATTCTTGATCAGGTGTTCTTTCCTTCATTCAAATATTTGACAGATATTTATGGTGTTCCTGCTCTGTGCCAGGGACTAGGGATACTTCAGTGAGAAAAATAGACCTTGCCTCTGCTCTTGTGGAGCTTACTGTCTAATGGGAGAGACTGATATTAATCACAAAGTCCCTCCGTATGTGCATAACCCAAGAGAAGGGAAGGAACATAGCACTACAACCCAGACAGCCAGGGAAGGCTTCCCTGAGAAGGTAACACCTGAGCTGAGAACCGAAATGTAGGTAGAATTGAAATAGCTGAAAGGATGGGACAGAAGGAGAACATTGAGGAACAGGAAACAGCATTTATAAAGGGGCAGAAGGGAATGTGGCACACATTTCAAACAGCTAAAGGCAGCCACCAGCTGGAGCACAGAGAATCAGGAGGAATAATATGTTATATGTATGATAGGGTAGAGAGTAGATTGGGAGAGGGGTGGATGTCAGGCTGATCAGAGCCATTAGGAGAAATGGCAAGAACACTTTGGGAATTTAATAATTTGGACTTGATACTCTTTTACAAATAAACATATTTTGTGACATGAATATCAAACATCTTAATTTTTAATATATACTGGACTGATTTTATTCTCAAAGGAAAACTAGAGAGAACAATATTTCATTTTTCTTGAACACTTTTATATTTTAAAACCATACCATAAAGAAAATACTTAGTTCCTAATTGTATGTTCTCCACTCTTCCATTTCTAAATAGTAAGGATTTTTATAGTCCTATAATATAATTTATTGGTATAAAAACAAATAACTTTGGCATGTTCAGATTTTACATTGAAGGTGTTCCTTCCTACTTGCAGGTAACATGAAGTTCTGATGCCTGGAGGCAAGGGGCAAGTCTGTGGGTAGCCACAGACTTATATGCCAGAGAATCTTAGTCAGAGGGGATGTTAGAGGTCATTTTGTCTAACCTTCCTGTCCTTCCTATCTTCCTTCTCTTAGGCTGTCAGTTTAAGTCTTTCCTGGAGGCTTCTGGAAGGAGGTCCCTTGGTGAGCACTGACATATTTGGTTTTTCAGGAGTCATTGATGATCAGAGACATGACTGAGGCTTTCACCCAGTGGGAGCAGCTGAACCATCCTCAGGGAGATGTGCCTGAGAAGCATAGGAATCTGGTCTTGCTGGGTAAGAATGGTTCCCCGACTCCCTGTGAATTTACCCAGTATGATACCTTTGCTTCTTCAGTTCTTAGGAGCTCTGAGGTGGTTCTTTGATGCGAAGATTCTTAATCCCTGTGTAAGTTCTGAGACAGGCAATTCCTGCTTTTGTTTCTGGATATAGGTTTACCACTCCCAGAGTTAGAAATGGACACTTTTTTTTATCACATTTGCCTAGGTGGTACCATCCTTCTTCTCTATTCCCTGACCAAGGATGTTGAGACAAAGTTCTAGTGAAAGCACTTCTTAAGAAATGGGTGCTTATTGTTTTCATAAGAAAAGGTAAAATCAAGTGACTCAGTTGTTCTGAACTCAGATACACCCCATATGAATCTTCCTACCTTCTGAGCACTGTAGAGGGAGAAATCCAGAACTAACCTCTCTTTTATACTGTCTTCCCTAATGACCAAGGAGCTAATACTGAGGTCTTTACCAAACTCCTTCTTCTTTCCCCATGAAAAGGGCTTCCAATTTCCAAGCCTGATGTAATCTCTCAGTTGGAGTGTGGGGAAGAACTGGAGAGACAAGTCTCAAAAGCAACTTGTCCAGGTGAGTGATTGTTGGAAATAGTGAACATAAAACCCAGACAGCCAGTAGGAAAGGCACTTTTGAAATGCTTGTGGAGGAACCTTTCCAGATTTTGCTAGACCCACAAAAAAGTTGAGGTGAAGTCCCTTTCTTCCATGCCACACTCCCATGCTCTGTGGATGACAATCTGTTAATAAATTCATAATTTTTTTTAGAAAATAAGTACTTCCTGCCCTTTCAAACTAATTCTTTTTTCCCTATAAGGTAAAATGAAATCAGCATTTTAATATTTGTTATTTTCATGGGTGCAAAGTTTTAAACCAGCCTTTTCATGTTATTTTTATCTCTGTGGGGTAAGGTGACTTTTTGTATGAGACCAGTGCCTATAAATTGATCTCTGAGCTTCCCCTTGTCTTCCTCTCTACCTAAGTGGAAGCAGTGTAGCATAATGGGTGAGAGTGCAGACTTTGGAACCAATCTTCCTGGGTCCAAAGCCAGTCTCAACTACTTAACTAACTCTGTGAGCTTTAACAAGTGAATTATCCTTTCTGTGTCTCAAATTCCCCAGTAAAAATGGAGATAATGATAGCACTTAACTCATAGGCTTGTTTTGAGGATCAAATGAAATAATCCAAGAGAAATGCTTAGAACAAAACCTGGCTGCAATGCTAAGCAAATGATAGCTATTGATTAAATCCTTGTAAATCTGTTTTTAAAAGATGTCATGGATTTGACCCGATCAGTTCTGTCAAACTGGTTCCTGCAACAGACTACCAGCTAATTATAACTTCTTTAGTCTTACCCTTGTCTAACTGAGGCAGCATAATATTGCTAGATTCCCTGCAGTAAGTTGCTGACTCTGCCAGTTCTGTATTCCTCTACCGGCTTTCAAGGTCTTTGTTACGCTACCTGCCCAACCACTTTACTTTCTCTGTTCTCCAGCTTGAACCCTTGACCCAGACAGGCAAGTCTCTTACTATCCTCCACTAACCATGTGTTCTCCACAAACATTTGGGGCTTTAATTCTTCCACTCCCCTTAGCTGAAAGTCCATTTGTCTTTAATCTCTTTCTGGCTGTTTGTCTTTTAAAATCCCAGACACTTGTCTAATTATATGTAGTTGGGGTCTTTGTATTGATTTATTTCATATAGAGTCATGGTTGGAATGGATATTGAAGACTATTTAAGCCTGGAAATATTTAAACATTTTTAGCAGTGAAGCTTTTCCCCCTGAACTCTTACTAGGAAGCCTAGGACTTGGTGGCAGATATCCTGACAGGATGGAAACCAATCTGAGCACATGGAGATTTTACTTTTCCCTCATGTTTAAACACTACTCATTTATTTAAAAACTTGGTTATATTTTACTCTTTCTAGTTTGTTGGGTGTAAAGCAGTCAGAAATGATCGATTGCTTCTTATTTACTAAGCTTTGTGGTGATTTGTATATGTAGATCTGGACACTTTGAGTGCTAGCTTCTAGAATTTGTGTCTCATCTTGAGACAGTGGAACCAGCAGAGATTTTTGTGTAAGAGATTTTTTAAAGGTTAATCTGTTACCAGTGATTGGGGCATATTAGAAAAGGAAAAGATTGGTAGCTAGGATGTGGGGAGATGAGCTAATGATGGTCATTCTCATGGCATGTGGTGCTGAGGTTCTCATGGGGACAGTTGACAATCCCTGGGAGACCATCTTTCTCTGATCCCAGACCTGTCTCCACCAGAGACTGTTTTTTATCTTCCATTTCCACACACCCACTCTGTTTAGTCTTGTTCTCTGTTATTCTTTCTCATTTCCTACCCTGCTAGACAAAGGTATGTTGAATACCTGTTCACCCTCTCCCTTTTTGCAGCTCTGCTGCTTCTCATTGTTCTTTTTTTTCCCTCATTTTTCTCTTAGAGAGCCTTCAAATTTTTGTATTCCCTGTAAGCATTTTTGTTGCATTATTTTCCTACAGCAGAAATCATTTTTCTCTCTGTGTAGGAAATGACATATATATGTTTGTGTTTCTTTCAGACTGGCAGACAACACCAGAAAGCAAGGTCCTAATTCCAGAGCAGGAAGTTTCTGAAGAATCAGCCTCTGGGGTGTTAATAGGAAGATTTCCAAAGGTAACTTCCAGTGAATGTGAGGATTCTTTGGAGAGTCAGCAGGAAAACCATGAGAAACATTTAATACAAGAGGTTGTCATGCAGAAGAAATCTTCAGGGGAGAGAAGTTACCAGTGTGATGAAATTGGAAGAAATTTTAGTCGGAGGTCCTTACTTGTTCAACAGCAAGGAGAGAGATTATATAATTGTGATTCATTTAAAAAGAACTTAAAACAAAATTCAGATCTAATGAGGCATGATAAAATTTGTGCAAGAAAGAAACCTTGGAAGTGTAATGAGTGTGAAAAAGCCTTTAGTTACTATTCAGCTTTTGTCTTGCATCAGAGAATTCACACAGGAGAAAAGCCCTACGAATGTAATGAATGTGGGAAAGCCTTTAGCCAGAGCATACACCTTACCTTACACCAGAGGATTCATACAGGAGAGAAACCCTATGAATGTCATGAATGTGGGAAGGCCTTCAGTCACCGTTCAGCCCTGATTCGGCATCATATAATTCACACTGGAGAGAAACCCTACGAATGCAATGAATGTGGGAAGGCCTTTAATCAGAGTTCATATCTCACTCAACATCAGCGAATTCATACTGGAGAGAAACCTTATGAGTGTAATGAATGTGGGAAGGCCTTCAGCCAGAGCACATTCCTTACCCAGCATCAGGTCATTCACACTGGAGAGAAACCTTATAAGTGTAATGAATGTGGGAAGGCCTTCAGTGATCGATCAGGCCTTATTCAGCACCAGAGAACTCATACTGGGGAGAGGCCTTATGAGTGTAATGAATGTGGGAAAGCCTTTGGCTACTGCTCAGCTCTCACTCAACACCAGAGAACTCACACTGGTGAGAAACCCTATAAATGCAATGATTGTGCCAAAGCCTTCAGTGACCGCTCAGCCCTTATTCGTCATCAGAGAACACACACTGGAGAGAAACCTTACAAGTGTAAGGATTGTGGAAAAGCTTTCAGCCAGAGCTCATCTCTTACAAAGCATCAGAAAACTCACACTGGAGAAAAACCCTATAAGTGTAAGGAATGTGGAAAAGCTTTCAGCCAGAGTTCTTCCCTTTCTCAACATCAGAAAACTCACACTGGAGGGAGCACCAAGGAATATGGAAAAGTCTTTAGTGAGCATTCAGCCTTTGGCCAGCAAAAGAGAATTCATACTGGATAAAGACTATGTAGATATAGTACATTTAGAAAATATTTATTGAACAATTACTATACATGTGTGAGGGCTACAGAGGAATTTAAGACTGTTACAAAAAATATATTAATGGGGAAGTCATTGTTAATATATGACAGTTACTTTAAATGTGAACAAGGGGCTTTATGTTTTTTCAAAATGTCCTAATGGAGGACATTTTGAATTTCCCTGGGGAAAGACAAAAATTATTTCTAACACTCTATATGTAAGCTGCCAAATCCTTGAGAGAGAAATAGAATAGGGCATGATGGGAAGAGGACATACTAGCTGAGCTACGTAGTCTCATAATGCTAAGGAGATGAAGTGTTAAAGAGATACGTGGTTCTTTTAGGGAAATCGCAGGGGTAGGAATAAGATTGAGATTCCGCACTGAGTTTGAGTGGCAGTGGAAGGACACTTAGGAGGGAGATGGAAAGGGCGAGAAAAAGCCTGGGGAAATGAAGTCAGCAACTGTTGATAGAGATAACCACTGCAGCTAGTACCCACAACAGGGAAACTGTTAGTCAAACTTGTTGGTTGGTTGGTTGAAAAGCTCCCAACCTTTAGCCAAGGAATGCTATCCTGGCAGTACACTTCTGCACTTTTTGTTTTTTTGGACCATGCTTATTGAGATAGCACCTACTAAGAATCACATTAACTCCAAGAGTCAAGACTGACAGCCTAGAAAGGCAGAGTCAGAAGGGATCCTTGATGTTTCCAATCTGTTTCAGTCTACAGTTACTTGAGAATGTGCTTATTTAAAAAGTTTTACGTCAGTTATATGTAGTTTGTACCTTAGACCCAAACTGACATTGCATACTGTGAAAAACTTGGAAAGACTTTGAAATACTTACTCTTTATCATTTTACTCTTGAGTACAGGCAGATGGCATCTTTGTATGTACAGGTTTTTTACTGAAGATGTGAAGGTTATTGCAAACATTTTGAGTACCGTGCTTTTAGTTTTCACAAGTTTGACTATAATGTCTTGGTATTCTTTGAGTTTAGTCTGTTTTCTGAGCTTGAATCTGTGGGCTTGTCTTTTGCCAGATTTGGGGAATTTTCAGCCATTTCTTTGAATGCATATTCAGTCTCCACCTCCAACCCCTTCTCTCCTTCAAGGACTCTGATGACCCAAATGTTCAGTCTTTGAATGTTCCTCACTGAGGCTCCATTGTTTGTTTGTGTTCCAGTATATTTTTGTCTTAGTCTGCTTGGGCTGCCATAACAAAATAACCACTAGCTGGGTGGCTCAAACAGTGGAAATTTATTTCTCAGTTCTAGAGGCTGGGAAGGCTGAGATCAAGATGTTGGCTCTGGTCTCTGGGGCAGGCTCTCTTCCTGGCTTACAAGAGGCCATATTTTTGCTGTGACCTCACAAGGTCTTTTCTTGACGCATGTATGTGGAAAAAGAGAAAAAGCTCCTCTTGCTCATTTATAAGGCTACCACTCCTATCTGATTGGGACCCCAGTCTATGACCTCATTTAACCTTAGTTACCTCTGAAAAGTCCTTATCTCCAAATAGTCTCATTAGGAGTTAGCACTTCAAAATGAATTTTAGGGGGTCACAAGTCCATAGCATTCTGCCTGAGCCCCCCAATTCATGTTCTCACATGCAAAATGCATTCACTTCATCTCAATAACCCCAAAAGTTTTAACTCATTCTAGCAGCAACTCTTAAGTCTAAAGTCCAAAGTCTCATCTAAATATCACATAAATCAGATATGGGTGAGATATAAGATATAAGTCATCCTGAGTCAAAATTCTTGTCCAGTCGTGAACTTGTGAATCAAGGCATGTTATGTGCTTCCAAAATGCAACTGTGGGACAGGCATAGGATAGACATTCTCATTCCAAAAAAGAGAAATAAGAAAGAAGGAAGGGGTGATGGGTCCCCAGCCAACAAAACCTAGTAAGTCAAATTCCATGATATCTTAAGTCTTGAGAATAATCCTCTGGCTTGATGCCCTATCTTCTGGATCCACTAAGGCAATTATTCCAACTTCCAGACCCACTGTTACAGCAGTTCCACTGCCAGGCCTCCAGGGACCAGCCCTACCTCCAAAGCTTTGGTTGGAAGCCATCTGGCCTATTGAAAGTGAGACACTATACCTACCCTTTGAAACAGGCAGCAGCCTAACATCTCTGAGTTAACTTTGGAGTCATTATTTTTTTGAAGCATGGCACACCTTTGTAGCTGAATAGTTCTGTTGTCTGGCCCAGTAAGATCTCAGAAGTCTGAGAGTCTTCCTTCATTTGTCTAGGTTTTCTGTGCTTTTTCATCCCTTCTGGCAGTGTGTCTGCTGGTAGAAATAATCCCATTTCTATTCCCTGACTTCTGCTGAGAGAGTTGATTAAGTGTCACACCCATGATCTCTTTTTCAAATGCCACACCCATAGAGTTCTCTTTAGAACACACTTCATCGTATTTGGCAGTATGGACAATTTCCTAAACCTCTGAGTTCTAGTTCTTTTTTGCTTAAGAATTCCATCTTTAATTCATCTCTTCCCTCTTGCATTTTGCTGTAAGCAGTAGGAGGACCCAAGCTGCACCCTCAGTGCTTTGCTTGGAAATCTCCTTTGTTGAATATTAGGTTTAGTTGCTCACAAGTTCTGTCTTCCACAAAACACTGGAACACAATTCAAGCCAAGTTTGTTGCCACTCTACAACAGGGATCACCTTTCTTCCAGTTCCCAGTACTGTGTTCTTCATTTCACCAGACCTCATCAGATGACCTTTAACACCCATATTTCTAGCATGAACCTGAAAACTCTTCCAGATCCACCCATTGTCCAGTTCCAAAGCTACATCAGACTTTCAGATATTTGTTAGAGCAGTACACCACTTCTAGGGGTTAAAACCTGTTAATGTGGTTGGAGCACCATAATATTCTGTAGCATAGGTGGCCTAAACAAATTTCATTTCTCAACAGTTCTGGAGGCTGGGAGGCCAGGAGGCCAGGATCAAGGTGCCAGCTGATTGGTTTCTGATAAGGGCTGTCTTCCTGGCTTGCAGATCGCCACCTTCTTCCTGTGTCCTCCAGCCTTTCCTCAGTGCATGCGTGTGGAAAGAGAATTCTCTTCCTTTTATAAGCCTAGCAATCCTGTCAGATCAGGACCCCAAATTTATGACCATTTAATCTCAGTTACCTTCTACAAGTCTTATCTCTAATCTAGTTACATTGGGGGTCAGGGCATCAACATATGATTTGTGAGGGACGCGATTCAGTCCACAGCAATTTTCTTTCTTCAGATTATTTCCTATTCTATCTTCAAATTCACTTGAGTCTTTTCCTCTGTCCCTTCCATTCTGATATTGAGCCCATCATTTTTATTTCAGCTGTACATTTTACTTCCATTTAATTCTTTATGTACTCTATCTCTTTGCTGAGACTTTCTATTTCTTAAATTTGTGTCATGCATGTTTGTGGTTGCCCATTGATGCATTTTTGTGATGGCTGTTTTAAATCCTTGTCAGGTGATTCTGACATCTCTGTCAGTGTTGGCACTTGTGGATTGTCTTCTTAGTCCAGTTGAGATTTTCCTGGTTCTTTGTGTGATGAGTGATTTTCCACTGAAGTCTGGACATTCTGAGTGTTATGTTATGAGATACTGTATCCTGTTTAAACCTTGGGTTTGAGCAGGCCTCCTCTGACACTGCTCTGGGGGAGAAAGGGTTGGGGGGACAGTTTTATCACTGTAGATTTGTGCTGGACATGCAGGCTTGTCACTGGCCCCTACTGACACCTGGGGATGGGTGCTCAGCACTGCTGGGCAGGAGTGGGAGGTGCAGATCCCCTCATGGCCTCCACTGGCACCACATCAGTAAGCAAGGGAAAGGACGTCTTGTTTCTGGGTAGGGTTGGAAGCCTAGTCTCCACATGGTCTCCAATGACATTGCCGGGGGGGATGCAGGGAGAGGTCGGTTTTGAAAATCCTGTCCCTCCTTGACCCTCTCTGACATACTCTGGGGTGGAGGTAGGGCATTGAGGGGTCTCATTATACCTGGTGAGGGTGTAAGTATAGGCTCCTGACTTGGTCTTTTATGGTGCGGACGGGGCCATAGTTTTTTTCTCTATGGTCTCTGGCTGAAGAAGGGTGGTGATCGTCTAAAAAGTTTTCCATCTTGCTAGGTTGCTCTTTTCTTAGTCCTTTGGTTGGAAGGCTGGAGACAGCAGACTTTCCGTGGGTCTTTTTTTTTGTCTGTGCCCATTGGCATTTCTGGGTAGCTAGCCTCCTCCAAACCTGGTCTGGGATAGATGAGGCCCAAGGAAGACCCACGGAACTCAGCGCTATGTCATTCTTCAGGTCCCAGGTCCTTAGCCAGTCTGTATTCTTTCCATCTTTCAGAAACTTCTCTTGTTTTGTATATAATATCCAGGGTTTTTAGCTGTACTTAAGAGAAATAGGGAAAAGTCATCTTTCCCATGACATCCTTCCACTTGACACTGAAATAGCAGGTCAAGTGTGTCAAAGATCTGTGGCATATATAAGTCATTTATAACCTGTTAGGATTAAAAGGAATGCTCACTTGTTCCCCAAAGATAAGTTGCCATAGTGCTAGGTCAAAATCACCAGGCTGTAAGCTTCACCTAGCTTTGAATGAACTACAGATTTTAAGTTGAGGAAACACCAGATTTTTTTTTTAATCAAATGTACATCACAGTGGTTCAACAGCTCCCCTCCCTCTAACCCAGTCCCCTCCTCCTTTGTAACCACTAGTCACTTCTCAGTGTCTGTGTGTGTAATGCTGTTTTGTTCCTTCTGTTTTGCTTTGTTTTTATATTCCACAAATAAGTGAAATCATATGGTATTTGTCTTTATCACCTGGCTTATTTCACTGAGCATAATACCCTCTAGATCTATCCATGTTGTTGCAAATGGAAGGATTTTCCTTTTTATGTCTGAATAATATTCCATTGTGTATATGTACCACCTCTTTATCCATTCGTCTATTGATGGACACACTTAGGTTGCTGAAGAAACACCAGAATTTAATTGTAGATTACAAATTTGAGAAGGAAAGATAGGTATGATGAAGAATATAAACTACAGGGTTAATCATTTTTATTAGTATCTTTGTTCCAAGAGCATGTGAGAACTACTGGAGAATTGGGTTTAAAATTTTGTGGGGGGTTTTCCCTTATTGTGTATTATCCACATGTAGATATCTGTTCATTTTAATTTTATGTATAACACAGGATATCACAGAGAACCAACAAAATAAAGAATGAAATAATCGGGATTTGGGACAAATCACTTCATCATTTTAAATCTGTTTCCTCATTTATATGTATTTTTAAAATGTAGTATCTATTTGAAAATGACTAGATTAGGTTAATAATGGATGCAAAGTGACTTGTAAACTATCAAAGTGCTATATAACTGTTGGGTATTGTAGACATAGTTGTTTCTGTGACCTGTCCATCATGTAAGCTTTATAATGGTGTAGCCCAGTAAAAATTACAATGAATATAATAGAATGTGTCTTTTTTATCTTTTTTTTTAAATAAATTTTCTTAAACAGTAGTAAAATATGCATCTTTTGAAGTGATTGTATGGTTTTCTTTAACCTGTTAATGTGGTAAATTACACTGATAGATTTTTCTAATGTAAAGGAATACATGCTTTCCTGGATTTACCCAATTTAATGACTTTTCCCACACCTGGAAGAGTTTGTGTTCCTTGAATGTTCAGTTGCATTCACCTGGAAAACTGGAATTACTGTGCATCTAGTGTGTGTTTTGATTGGTGTTGAGGGCTATTCAGATTTTCTATTTCTTTTTGAAAAATTTTAAGTTAGACTTTTCTAGAAATTTATTTTTGCCATTAAATTGTTCAAATATTTTTATTTTCTTTAATATCCCATTTTTATCTGTAGTTCTATCTTCTTTTTATTCCTAAAATTGCTTATTTGTAACCTCTTTTTTCCTCTTGATTGTGTTCCCAGAGATTTGTCAATTTTACTGGTATTTTTATTGGCTTTGAGGCTGTTGGATTCCCCTGAGGAAGGCGCCGCCCCAAATCACTCACCAAAGACGTTTCTTGATGCAACAAGCAAGAGGAATTTATTCGGAAGCCAACTAGTTGGGGTCCAAGTCAGCCCGTCGCAGCGGGTCTCAACGAGGACCCAGAGCACACAAAGCCAGAAGGTTTTATAGCATTTTCAAAAGGGGTAAAATTTTCCATAATTACAATACAGGGTTTTTTCTATAGGCTCATAAATCTTTTGCTGGCGCCACATCCTGGGGTCTGGTTAGATGAGATCACCTTCGGAATGTCTAGGGTGGTTCTAGCAAGATAAGCTAGGCATGTATGATTAACTGATTTACGGTTGGCTAACTAAAGGTCACTACAATTGACACAGGCTAACTAACTTGTTTTTCAAGATTCTAATGATTTTCCTTCTTCTGGGTTAGGGGGTGGTATTTAGGCCTTAAGATGGCTGTACTTATGCTAACTTTTGATTCTTCAGATCCTACATTTCCCCACTTCTCTTTTTGGGGCATTCCAATCATGGAATGTTTGTATCTTCTTGTGAGGTGAGTGAGTGGTATTGTTGCTTCAACATTAGTACATGAAC